TGCAGTAACGAGGAAGAAAGGATTGTTTTGTCTGGTTCCAGAGAATGAGGCACATCAAGTGCATTAGGTAGCAGTAAAAAATATTGATCATAACATTTTAGGTTTGTGTTAATTAAGGAGCAATCTAGAGCACATACTTAAATGAGGATGACCAATTTCAATGGGGTAAGATGGTAAATTAGAATGAAAGACTGGCAGTACAAATTATGGTGGAACTGTAAGCTATTTATAAAGTTGAGATGGTTTGGGTATTGCCGAGGTAAATTCCCATGAAGGGGAAAGAGGGGTCAAATAAAACTAAAATTCTTTACATGATGAATAAGATAGAGAGTACAACGAAGCAGAAAAGATGTACAGTATATAACAAATGCTAGATTGGTAATACAAGTGAGATTCTGGTTAAATGTAAAATGTTCAGATGTGAAGTGAAAAAAGAAATATCAGAGACAAAAAGAGAGTATGAGAAAATACTGGCAGCTAACATAAAAGTCTTCTATCAGGACACAAATAGTAACAAGGTAGTAATAAGAGGATGTTATTGATTTTAGATCAAAAAGAGGATATATGCATGAAGGTAGAAGGCATAGCTGAGGGACGAAATGAATATATTTATCTACTTTTTACCAAGCAAGAAAATGCTATCAAAGTCATAGTGAAATAATAAATAGCTGAGGTACTGCTTACCCATCCCAAGGATGTTGTTGGAAGCAAGGTTGTTACTGACCATAACTATCTAGCCATTTTAGGGATAGCAACATTGCCAGAGAACTAAGGAATTGCATTTGTTATATTGCGATTCAAAAAAGGCCATTCATTTAAAATTTTGATAGTAGACACACTTTTAAAAGCAATAACCTGGGACAAAATTTGCAACTACTTCGACAACTGCGGGTTAATTAAAGAAAACAAGCAGAAATGTTTTAAAGGGGAATTGTGTTTGGCTCACTTTATTAAGTATTTTTGGTAAGGTAACCATGAGATTGGGAAATGTAATATTGTTGATGTGATGTAAATGGCTTTACAAAACACACTGACGAAGTGTCACACATTAGGCTTGCCAGTAAAGTTGAAACCAATGGAATAAAGGCACAATGGCAGCATTCATATGAAATTGGTTGAGTGATAAGAAACTGAGAACAGTGGTGAATGGTTGACTTTCAGACTAGAGAAGGGTATACAATGTTTTCTGTATTCATTCACGGGATGTTGGCATTACTGGCTAAGACAGCATTTATTGTCCAACCCTAGCTGTCCAGAGGGCAGCTAAGAGCAAACTGCATACATCTGGAGACATGTATAGGCCAGACTAGGTGATGTTAGCAGATTTCCTTTCCTAAAGGACAATAGTGAACCAGACATGTATTTTGATCAATTGTTGTGTAGTTACAATTAGCCTTGCTTTGTATTTTTAAGGAGTTTTATGAAATTCAACTTTCAACCCATGCCATGATGGAATATAAGCCCATATAACCAAAATGTCAGCATAGTTCTCTGGGTTACTAGTGCAGTGACATTACAATGACACCACTTCCACACTAAACTGATGCTTTCCAGGTGCCACTGCTACAGCCACTGCTTTACCTGATGTTTACGAATGTCCTAGACTTGGACGCAAGGCGCAAAATCAAAATTTGCAAATTACATAAATCTTGGGCATATTGTGAACTGTGAGGATAGTGGTAAACAACAGGGCATAAATAGGTTGAGGGAAATGGTGGATGTTTGGCAGATGAAATATAATGAAAGCAATTAAGAATCTTATAACTTATAGGAAGAAGGAGGAAAGATAATATAAAATCACAGGTTCAATTCTGAAAGAGAGTAGAAACAAAGAGACCCAGAGATGTACAAATCATTGAAGGTAGCACGGCAGATGGAAAAAATGACAAAAGAGGCATGAATATAGTAAAAACCAAATGCTAATATATATTTAGTGACAGTTTTAAAAACACAATAAACAGTCACAAAGATTTTGGCTTTACTCATGTCACTGGACTAGGCATAACCTTCCTGAAAATCCCTCCAAAGTCCATGTCAACCAGAAAATCAACTCCCAGGTACCTCAGGATGGGTCAGGAATGCTAACTGTTGGCTAATGGCTTTCCATTTAAACCCAGAATGGACCACAGACAACAGGCTATCTGCAATGCAATCCATTGTCTTGAGGGTAGAACTTCTTCTCCCTTCCTCCCAAATTGCCATTAATTTTCTCCAGCCCAAAGTCCAGGAGTAACAGCAGCTGGAGAAACCAGAAATGAATGTGGCCGCATAGCATTGGCACATCAATTGGCATGCACAGACCCTCAAAACGTATTGGAAACATTGCCTCCACTACCAGAAGGCTTGATCACATGACTCTCAGAATTGAAAGGAGCTACCTTTATAAACAAAAGGGTTCTGAAACAGCAGACATTAAATGATCAGCATTACTTTCTACAATAACTACTAAGTATCAACACATCTAACTCCAGGCTACAAATGAAAACCTCTGGCCTGTAAAAAGCAGCCAACAGCATGTATTTGTGCTCTGTAAAATTTTGTTGCATCAGAGCAGTGAAGTAAATGTTACAGAGATAGTAGGAACTGCCGATGCTGGAGAATTTGAGATAACCAGGTGTAGACCTGGATGAACACAGCAGGCCAAGCAGCATCAGGGGAGCAGGAAACCTGACGTTTTGGGTCTAGACCCTTCTTCAGGAAATAAATCTGAAGAAGGGTCTAGACCTGAAACGTCAGCTTTCCTGCTCCTCTGCAGCTTGGCCTGCTGTGTTCATCCAGCTCTACACCTTGTTATCGAAGTAAATGTTACAGTTTGGCAAGACTTCCTCAGAAGACTTCTGAAGAGATCTTTTAAAGAGAAGAAACTGACTACAAATCATCAACTGCTGGCCAGCCAATCGCCCCACAAAGGAATTTCAAACTGCTAAGGCCAAGATTGGACATCTGGACTCATCTTCAGAATACAAGGTCATTGCTAAACTGGTATTACTTGATTGTTTTCTTTTATACTTAACTTGTGGCTGGTTGTATAATCTCTAACTTTTCTGATCCTATCTCACTGTGTTAACTTGTAGGCATAGCCACAATGTGGAGCACCCCTCCAGTTCTATCCACCACCCCCCAAACCCTTCATATCTAAGAGTGTATAAAATAACACATTACCTCTGTTTCTCTTTAATTTACTACAGTGTTGTTGCAGCCTTTGCAGAGTCAGAGCTCCAGAGACATAGGGCATGATTTAAGTACACCCCTCACTGTTTAAGTAAAAGGGCAAAGAACTAAAACTATAATCAGCTTCCAGACTAGTGGTGAGAAAAGGGACAGTGTTTTGTTTCAAAGCTCACACAAGCTGTGATGAAAAGCCTATGAGTCCAGGGTTTTAATATTAGAGGCACAAAATCCAGAAGCAAAGAAGTTCTAACAGCCTTTATAAAAAGATTGTTTTATTCTCAATTGAAGTATTATGTCCTATTCTGAGCAGCTCACGTTCAGGGAGGGGCAAAAAATGCTTCACCAGAAAGGTGTCTGGGCTGAGGAACTTCGCTTACACAGAAAGATATTGATAGATGTGTTCAAATCCATGAGGTATCTCAACAGAATAGTTAGAGAGAAACTGTCCCCATTGTGGAAAGGTCAGGAACCAATCAACAGTGACTTGAGGTGAATGGCAAAGAAACCAGAAGTGATGTGAGGAGAACTTTTTTACACAGCAAGTGGTTAGGATTATACTGCCTGAGAGAGCAGTGAAGGCAGATCCAATTGTGGCTTTCAAAAGAGACTTAGATAAGCATTTGTAGGACTATCTGAATGGTCTTTGCAGAGAGCTTGCCCATAGGTGACAGGTTGAATCATCTCCTTCTGTTCTGTAAATGTTCTATAGGAAGGACCCAGCTTTTGCCTCTTAGTCCTTGTCAGTGGCAATTGAAGGATTGTTGAAGTTGTGGGCTATCAGATTTTTAACCAACTGTGTGACCTTCCAATACTCCACACTATTCAAGGGGCAAGTGTATGAAAAACATCAATTATTATGATTCTAATTTCAGTTGAGAGTCCTACAGCAAACATACTCCTGGTGTGTGCTTGTCCTGCATGCCTAGGGGAGAGCCTAGTCCAATGTGGCAATCTTACATTGCAGAAATGTCCTTGTGCCCCTAGCTACATAACCTGCCTGCCATCTAGCTCTAAAATGGACACAATGTTAATGAATATATATGACACTGTTTCTAAACGCTTAAACCTTTCCTATCGGTTAATGAATATATATGACACTGTTTCTAAACGCTTAAACCTTTCCTATCGAAGCATCTACAGATCTGCCTGGATTGGTATGCGGTTTATTCAATGATTAAAAAAAACTATTGAGACTTGTGTTTATTCTTACGACTAAAGATAGTGTCCCGAAAGGTTTACATTCAATTGTGCTGCAGAACTGGATTTAATTCGAGTGCCTTAAAACGTATGAATGACAATAACTTTGTGGCGAGCTTATTTGTCTTTCGTAGACAAGTGTCTGGTAGAGAAGTGCTGCAGCCGCTGTGTGATATCTCGCTGTGTTAACAGCTCTGTTATATTTGCATTCCTGTTTTTGCTTGTCAGGAGGGTGCATGTGTCTGGGAGCTGGTGGCAGAATTTACTCTATGGTAAGTTTGATTAATCTATTGCATTTTCACACATGGATTAATTTAGACGTTTTGAAAAAGAATAATGAAGACTGTAAACGAAATAATACAATTCGCAGTCTTCTTCCTTTATCGTTAACATTGGAAATGAACTTAAAATTGTCGATAGTCACTTCCATCGTTATTGGCATTGCTCGAACTATTTCAGGCAATTCTAATTTCTTCTGACATTACATGTTATCCTTTGATGAAATAATCCGGCCCATTATTATGTTATTCTTAAACTATGCAACCAACATATCTGCCAAAAATGGTAGTGGAAATGTTTCTGGTTTGGTGCAGGGGGAGGGTGGGGAAGGGTGTGGAGAATGAAGGGGAAGGGAGAAAACCTAATATGGGTTGTAGCTATTGTGAATAATGAAAACGGTTATTCTGACAATACGTGTTTCACGACCCGCTTCTACCTTCATGAGTTTTCTATCCTGACGGGGTGAAGGTAGCGGGTATGTTTAGAAATGTTTAAAGAAGCATTAGCAATGACCTTCAATCTAAAGCCAAACACAATCTCGTGAATGATCTTCGGAGAGCTGGGCTGGACTGCATTTGTACCCAACTGTTAAGGAACTGCACGTAGGTGGTAAGTGACTTTATGAGGTCTAGTCGACAAAACAAAATATTTGGTTGCAATATAAAATCTTGAAAGAATGTTGCAATTTTAATCTTTGAAATAGCTGGAGCAAGTTATAAACTGAGCCCAGCTGTTACTTCCCAGCGATTGAACAAACTACAGCTGGACCGATGTTTTGCTACTCTCCGAATAATTTAAGCACTTGGTTCTGACAGACTTGAAACGATTGTCAGCACATGTAACAGTTGGGCGGCTCAATTTCTGGTGAGTTTAAATGTTTGTCTGTAATAGACCGTGCTCTGGGCGAGCGCAATCAAGGAAGTTGTTCTGGACTTTTAGGAGAAACCCAGTGTACACTGGCCTTAAGCAGAAATTAAAACATTATTTCCAATATGAAGCTTTGACAGTTAAAACATTGCTCGAAACATACATTTAGTATATGCTCGGAAATGCAGGCCAGAGCTGAAGAGGTACATCAAAACCTAGAAGCTCCGAAAAGAATGGATTAAAGAAGTGTTGGCGTATCTTTTTGGCCATTGTAACATGAGCTAGTGTTTATTCAGTATTTACATGCTGCACTGAACAACGTGTTTGGAGCAGTAAGGACACAAGCAGCCGTTGCAACGTACATCATCTGATTATGGCTTTTTTTTGTTTTTTTTGGCTTTTCCAGCCAAAATTTCACGCACCAAAAATAAACCACAAAAGGTCTTCACGAATTAGCCACGAGAGCTAATTTTGATGGAAGGACTGTGATAATGATAAAATGGGAGTTTGCTGCTGCCTTTCAGATTCTAAATGAATTGGAATGAGCTGTCTATTCGTACTTTTAACGATATCACTTCAATGTACCGCCTCCTAGACAATCTATGTACCAAGCTTTTGGGCTGGATTTGATTTTGCCTAAAGTGTTCATTTTAATAAGCACAGCTGGGAAGAATTTATTTAAGAAAAAGATTTAAAAACAAATAAATTTAAAAACAGCCGCTAGTTCAGGGACAGCGTTGCAAAGGAGCAGTCAGCAATCACACAGCTGAAGGGTGCAGTACCTTTAAAGGGCTGCAGCACTATGAACGGCAACAGATTGTGGCTCCTCCTCTTCCCCAGCACTCACACAGACAGCACCAGGACAGTGTGAGCCATGTGAGACACTCCAAAGACCCCAGGCTTGGTTTGTGGGACGCGGCGATCGCCCCCTAGAGGGGGGACATCCATTCTGCGCCATATGTACCTCAGTACCAGCCGCAGTGTCCTCTAGTCGTAGAGTCTTCAACTGTGAGTCAGACGGCGCATTAAACTTATCTGCTGGGGGTGAGTCTGGTAGCGCTGATGCTCAGACAAGACATCTTGTGTTGTCTGTACTTTTCAGATCCTACGCATTGGCTCCAGCCAAGTTCAGACATCTGTGCACCACTGCAGTCCCTCATCGGCCCGACCCATTCAGTAATTTTCACCTTCGGTAATGTGAAGGTCATTGGGATGGATTATAACTTAGAAGAGTCCCCAGTGGGACTAGATTAAGGTATCTGGCCGGCATGGACGAGTTGGACTGAAGGATCTGTTTCCGTGCTGTACAACTCTATGACTCTATAAGGAGAGGGGCCGAAGAGGTAGGTGGAAGCCGGAATTTGAGTCTTCCCTACCCTCAGCGTGTATACACACACACGCCCAGTAGGATGTGCTGGTCACTCATTGACTCCCCACCCATAGACTGGTTAACAGGTTCAAAGGAGGACGTAGCAAATCCTGCCCTCAGATGGTGGATGAAGGAGTGAGATTGGAGTGATAGGTGTAGAATAGAACAACTTGTACTGAGGAGGGGTCTTGAGTGTTGGGAGGCAAAGGTTCTTAGGAGGTCTCTTGTGGAAAGGGAAGGAGTTGGGGAGTCCTAACAGAGGTGAGTAGTGACCCAGGGAAAACCCCAGAAAGGATGGGGGTGGGTGGTACTGAGGAGGGGGTCTATAACTAGAAATTATGGTTATTAGTCATGTCAGTGGTGAGGTCAGGACTGGGGGATTCAGAGACTTAGGAGTGGATGATCAGAGGTCTATGAGGACATCTGGGGTGTGACAGAGGTTGGCTATGATTTGATTGATTTATTGTCACATGTACCGAAATACAGTGAAAAGCTTTGTTTCTGAGTGGTACAGGCAGATCACAGCAAGCAAAGGATGTACAGAACAAAAAGACTTAGAGCATACAGGTTACATTGCAGGTTACATTATTTGAGGCTAGAGTCCTTTCAACAGTCTGACAACGGCTGGAGAGGAGCTGTTCCTGAACCTGCTTGTGCGTGTGTTCAGGCTTCTGTATCTTCTGCCTGATGGAAGAGATTGTAGGAGATCATTACCAGGGTGTGATGGGTCTTTGATGTTGGCCACCTTTCCATGGCAGTGAGCCGTGTAAATAGAGTCCATGGATGGAAGGTTGGCTTCTGTGATGGTCTGGGATGTGCACACGACGTCCTGTAGTTTCTTATGGTCCTGGGCGGAGCAGTTGCCATATCAGGCCGTTATCCACCCAGACGGTATGCTTTCAATGGTGCATCTGTAGAAGTTAGTGAGGGACCTTATGGTCATGCCAGATTTTAAGAGGAAGAAGAGATGTTGTTGTGCCTTCTTGACTGTCGTATTTACATCAGAAGTCTAGGACAGGTTGTCATTTATCGTCACTCCAAGGAACTTAATGCTCTTCATTCTCTCCATCTCTGTTCCATTGATGTAGATGGGGGCGTGTTCTCCTCCTTTCTTTCTGAAGTTGATGATCAGTTCTTTGCTGACGTTGAGTGACAGATTGTTTTCATTGCACCGCATCACCAAGCCCTCTATCTCCCTTCTATATTTTGACTTGTCATTGTCAAATATCCATCCCACGACAGTGCTGTCATCAATGAACTTGTAGATGGCATTCATTTGGAATTTGACAACACAGTCGTGGGTGTACAGGGAGTACAGCAGGGGGCTGAGGGCACATCCTTGAGGGTCTCCAGTGTTGAGTGTTATTGTGGAGGAGGTGCAGTTACCTATCCTCACTAATTGCAGTCTGTGGGTCAAAAAGCTGAGGATCCAGTTGCAGTGGGCAGCACCGAGACCAAGGTCACAGAGTTTTGAGATCAGTCTGGAGGGGATAATGGTGTTGAAGGTGATCTGTAGTCAATGAGCAGGAGTCTGACGTAGGTGTCTTTGTTGTCCAGATGTTCCAGGGATGAGTGCAGGGCTAGGATATGGCATCCCCTGTGGATCTGTTATGTTGGTAGGCAAACTGTTCTGGATCGAGGCAGGCTTGGAGACTGGAGTTGATGTGGGCCATGACCAGCCTGTCAAAGCACTTCATGATTATTGAAGTCAAGGCTATTAGGCGGTAGTCATTAATGCATGCTGCATGAACTTGGCCTGGTAAAGTAAGGGCAGGAAGGGAGCCTAGTTAGGAAGAGAGTGGTTGTTGGACACCTCAGTGAGGGTTGGAGGATTTGGGAATGGGATTGGAGTCTGGGTAGCTGATCAGTGCTTCTAAGAGGCTTGGGATCATTAGGTGGCTTCTGGAATAGTCAGAAACTATAAAGGGTAGGTTAGGGGGAACTTAGAAGGCTCAGGAGTGGGAATGATGTATAATCACCAGGGGTTACCCAGGAGGGTATTTGGATCCAGCACGTCAGCGACAAGGCTGCCACCTTCTGACATTAACTTCTGAGGTTTCTCATACAAGATACCGTTCTGACTGCTGTTATGTTTCACTTGTTAAGTAATAATGCACATTGTAGCCTCATTATCATGTTTAAAATGCAAACCCAGTGT